GTGGGATTTATACCAGGAATGCAGGGCTGGTTCAGTATTTGGAAAAGTATTAACATAACTGACCATGTCAATAACAAAGACAGAAATAAACATGCAGTTATGTCAATAGGTACAGAAAAGGCTTTTGACAAAATACAATATACACTCCTATACTAGAAATCATAGGAATAAATGGAGCTTTCCTTAAAATGATAAGTAGCATCTATCTAAAACCATCAGCAAGCATTATCTGTAGTGGGGATAAGGTAGAAAAGCCTTCCCAGTAAGATCAGGGGTGAAGCAAGGATGCCCACTATCACCACTGTTATTCAACACTCTACTAGAAATGCTAGCTAGAGCAATAAGAGAAGAAAAAGAAATTGAAGGAATTAGAGTAGGCAACAAGGAAGCAAAACTATCACTCTTTGCAAATGATATGATGGCATACTTACAGAGAGCCCTAAAAAATAAACTAAAACACTAGTTGAAATAATTAATAACTTCAGCAAAGTTGCAGGATATAAAATAAACAAACATAAATCACCAGTATTTCTATATAGTACCAACAAAGTCCAGCAGGAAGAGATAGAGAAATCCATTTAAAATAACTGCAGACACTATCAAATCCTTGGGAGTCTACCTGCCAAGACAAATCCAGGAACTATATACACACAATTACAAAACTGTTTTCACACAAATAAAGTCAGATCTAAACAATTGGAGAAATACTAATTGCTCATGGGTAGGTGGAGCCAATGTAATAAAAATGACATTTCTATCTAAATTCACTTACTTTTTCAGTGCCATGCCAATCAAACTACTAAAAAATTATCGAAACAATCTGGGACTGGCTAAAAAATAGAGTGGTGGATTAGGGGAATAGATTAGATACTCAATACACAGTAATAAATGACCATAGTAATCTAGTGTTTGATAAATTTAAATGCCCAAGCTTTTGGGACAAGAAATCACTATTTGACTAAAACTGCTGGGAAAACTTGAAAGCAGTTTGGTGAAGTTAGGTCTAGGCCAACATTTAACATTGTATACCAAGATAAGGTCAACATGGGCACATGATTTAGACCTAAAGTATAATACCATCGGCAAATTAGGGGAATATGGAATAATTTACCTGTTAGATTTATGGAGAAGGGAAGAATTTATGACCAAACAAGAGATAGAGAGCACTATGTGACATAAAATGGGTAATTTTGATTGCATTAAAATAAAAAGGTTTTGCACTAAAAAACAAAACAAAGCCAAAAAACAAAAAACAAGAAACCTTAGTGCTGCCATGATTAGAAGGAAAGCTGAAAACTGGAAGGAATTTTTTGACAGCCAGTTTCTCTGATAAAGGCCTCATTTTTCAAATACGTAGAGAACTGAGTGAAACTTATAAGAAGACAAGGCATTCCCTAATTGATAAATGGTCAAAGGATATGAACAGGCAGTTCTCAAATGAAGAAATCAAAAGTATTTATAGTCATATGGGAATAAATTGCTCTAAATCAGTATTGATTAGAGAAATGCAAATTAAAACAAATCTGAGGTACCACCTCACACCTATAAGAGTGGCTAACATGATAGAAAAGGAAAATGACAAATACTGGAGGGGGTGTGGAAAAATAGGGACACTAATGCATTGTTGGTGGAGTTGTGAGCTGATCCAACCATTCCACAGAGCAATTTGGAATTGTGCTTGAAGGGATGTAACACTGTGCATATCTTTGACTCAGTGATACCAGTAGTAGGTCTGTTTTCCAAAGAGATTTTTAAAAAGAGAAAAAGATCTATATGTACAAAAATATTTATAACCCTCTCTTTTTGTGGTGGCCAAGAATTGGAAATTGAGGGGATGTCCATAAATTGGGGAATGGCTGAACAAGTTGTGGTATATGATTGTAATGGGATATTATTCTGATACAAGACATAATGAGCAGGATGCTTTCAAAGAAACTTTGAAAAGTTTACAGAAACTGATGCAAAGTGAAGTGAGCAGAACCGGGAGAACATTGTACACAGTAATAGCAGCATTGTATGGTGATCAGCTGAGAATGATTTGGCCATTCTCAGAAGTACAATGATCCAAGATAATTCCAAAGGATTCATAATGAAAAATGCTATCCATCTCTTAATATAGAGAACTGATGGAAGCATACTTTTTTTAACTTTCTTGATTTTTCTTAGTTTTTTTAGTCTGTGTTTTCTTTCACAACATCATTAATATGAAAATATGTTTCACATGACTGCACATGTATAACATATAAAATTGTTTGCCTTCTCAAACAATTGAGAGTGGGGAGGGAGGGAAGGAGAGAATTTGGAACTCAGAATTTTAAAAAAGTTAAAGAAATTTACATGTAATTGGAAAAAATGAAATATTTTTTAAAAAGAGGATATATTTTAATTACAAAAAACTGTTAAGTTAAAAAGAGTTGCTAAACTGTATCCAGGTAGGGTATTCATACAGCCTGAGTTCCCTAAGCTGAAGAGGTGACAGGCAGCAATGGAATGGCATGTTATGTAACCATAAAAATTAATAAATGTGAAGAATAAAAGGAAATAGGGAAATCAATCAATCAGTATTAAGCACCTACTATGTGTCAAGGCACTGTGCTAAGTGCTGGGGTTACAAAAAGAGGCAAAAGGGGCAACTAGGTGGCGCAGTGGATAGAGTGCCGGCCCTGAAGTCAGGAGGACCTGAGTTCAAATCTGGCCTCAGACCAAACACTTGACACTTACTAGCTGTGTGATCTTGGGCAAGTCACTTAACCCCAATTGCCTAAAAAAAAAAAAGAGGCAAAAGACAATCCCTGCTCTCAAGGAGCTTACAATCTAATTGGGGGGAGGTACAACATGCAAACAGATATGTACAGACGGGCTATATACTGAATAAATAGGAAATAATTAACAGAAGAAAAGCACTAGAATTAAGAGAGGTTGGGAAAGACTTCCTGTAGAAGGTAGAATTATAGTTCAGACTTGAAGGAAGCCAGGGAAGCCAGGAGGTAGAGATGAGGAGGGAGCCATTTCTAGGTATGGAGGATAGCTATAGAAAATGCCTGGAATGGAGAGAGATGGAGTTATCTTGTTTGTGGACAAGCTAGGCAGCCAATGTCACTGGATCACAGAATATATGGAGAGGAATAAGGTGTAGAAAGACTGGAAAGATAGAAAGGGCTAGGTTATAAAGGGCTTTGAATGCACAGTGCATTTTGTGTTTATTCCTGGAGGTGAGAGAGCCACTAAAGTTTACTGAGTGAGGGGTGGGGGCAACGTGAGCAGAAATGCAATTTAAGAAAATCACTTCAGTGACTGAATAGAGCACGGACTGGGATTGGGAGAAGCTTGAGGCAGGCAGACCCACCATGAAGCTATTGCAATAATCTAGGTGTGAGGTAATGAGGGCCTGGACCAGGGTTTTGGCAGTGTCAGAGGAGAGAAGGGAGCATATTCAAGAGATTTTGCAAAGATGAAATCAATATACTTCGGCAAAAGTTTGGATACTGGGGGTGAGAGAGTGAGAATTTCATGATAACTCCTAAGCTGTGAGTATGAGGGACTGGGAGGATGGGTGTTGCTTTCTACAGAAACAGGGAAGGTAGGAGGTAGAGGGGGAAAGATAATAAATTCTGTTTTGGACATAATCGAGTTTAAGAGGTCTGCTGGATATACAGCTCGAGATGTCTGCAAGGCAGTTGGAAATGTTGAAGGTGGTTGGGATAGCATAGGTAGATGATCTTAGAATCATTAGCATAGAGATGGTAATTAAATCCATGGCAGCTGATGAAATCACCTAGTGAAGAAGTATAGAGGAAGAAGAGAAGGACCCTGAAGGACACCTCTGGTTAGGGGCCGTGATCTGGAAGAGGCTCGAGGAAAGGAGACAAGAAGCAATCAGGTGGGTAGGAGGAGAACCAGGAGAGAGTGGCATTCCAAAAACCTAGTGAGAAGAGCATATCATTGGTAACTTTGGAGAACCAAATGAGTTGAACGATGAGGTTGGAAGTCAGATTATAAGAGAATGAGTGAGAAAGTTGAGACACCCATTGTAAGATGGCCTTTTCAAGGACCTGAGATACGAAGGGCAGAAGAGATATACGATGATATTTAGCAGGGATGAGAGCATCAAGGGAGGGTTTTTTTTTTCAAGATGGAAGAGACACAGACATGGAGTTGGATGGATTCCCTGGATTTGGAGTCAGAGAGGCTGTAACTCCAGACTCGGTTAGTTCCTGTTATGACATGTGAGAGACACAGTGACTCAGGGAGCAAAGATTCTTCAGTCATCTTTTACCCGCCATACTGTGTGACTTTGAGGCAAATCATATCAAACTGTCTGGACCCTGGTTTCCCCATCTATAAAACCGGGGTTAAGACAGAATGATTTCTAAGGTCCCTTCCAGTGCTAGTTTGAGAAAAAGTCTGGTGTAGTTTATAGAGTGCTGGAATTGAAGCTGGCAAGACATGGGTTAAAATTTTGACCAAGCCATTCCTAGCTGTGTGACCTTTCTGAGCCTCAGTTTCCTTATCTGAAAAATGGGAATAGTTAACACCTACCTCACCAGCTATGTCCTTGAACAAGTCATTTAAACTTATATAAGCTTTACCCCCAAAATGGAGATAATAATCGCATCTGCTTCTTGTGAGGTTCTTGTGAGGATCAAATAAATGCTTTATCAACCTTGGAGCTATATAATAAGAGGTAGTTTTTCTATAGCACTGTAAGGTTTTTAACACACTTTACAAATATTGTTTGAGTCTCACAATGACTCTAAGAGATAAGAATTATAATTATTATCTCCATTTTACAGATGAGGAAACTGAGGCAGAGGCCAAATGACTTGTCTAAGATGTGACTTGTCACATCTAGTAAGTGTCCGAGGTTGGATTTGAACTCAGTTCTTCTTGACATGAATCTAGGGCTCTGTCCACTGTGCCAGTTACCTTCTATCCATAATTTTGAGTTATTCTATGAATCTTTCTAGCCCACCAGCCCCTCATGTTTGCTTCTTTTAAAGTGACCACTTTCCTCTCGGCTTCCGTGTGGCCAAGAAGCTAGTATATCACAAGGTGCGCCAGGATCTGGGCCTTGATCGCTGTCTCCAGTTTCTGAGCTTGGGCTCTGGCCTCTCCAAAGAAATCCAGGACTTCTTCCTCAGCTATAACATTATCCTGATGCCGATATATGGGATGACAGAGTGCACGGGACCTCATTCTGTCTCTTACCAGAAAGAATTCAAGCTATATAGGTATTTAGGTTATGACTGGGAATCAGGGGCCGCTTTGACCTCCCAGGTCAAACCTAGGGGAGGTAATAGGAGAGACAGGAACCAAGTGTGTGTGTGGGTAGGAGTGGGGGGGTGGGTGGAGGCTGGTGGTGGTGTTCTGACCCGAGGATGGCCCCAGAGGCTGGATGGAAGGAAAAGAGGCAGCCTCTCTTTCTTCTCCTCTCCCTAAGCAATCGGGGGTTGAGAATGACCATCCAGAGGGTAAGACATGTTAGGGGAAACAGGGAAAAGAAAGGAGGGTTATAAGAAAACAATGAATACTGGAGGAGAGCGTTTGCCAAGTCACTTTTTCCTTTGTTCCAATGAAGTACCTGCTAACTGCAGAAGACTGTCCTTTACACGATGGGAAAGACAGGGCTGGGAAAGACATAGTTCCTGATATTTTGGAGCTGGTGGTCTAGTAGGGAGGGGACCCAAACACAAGGAAGGATAACAATGCCCAGGCTTTAGCTATAGGGTCATCCAAGGAAGAACTGATCACCAACTGGTGTGTGTATGTGATGGGGTGGGGAGGGTAATCGTAAGTGGAGCCTTGAAGGTGGGGTAGTCTTTCAGCCGACCTGCAATTGGTTTAAGGTCTGTGAAAATGACAAGGGTTTTTGGTCATGGGCAAAGAAATTGTATGAATATATTTTATGATAAACCTATGAGTCTTAGGTGGGATAATGGTAGTGAAAGTGTTTCTGAAGAGTATGAAGTCCTGCCCAGAAAGGCTTGGTTGGAGGGCTATCTGACTCAGTTTCCTGATGTATAAAATGGGGAGAATACTATCTAACCTATCTCTTAGGGTCGTGTGAGGATTAAATGAGATATCTGTAAAGCTTTTTGCAAACCTTGAAGCACTGTATAAATGCTAGGTATTATTGTTATTATTAGCCTTTCACAATATTGCAATTGTTATTGCAGTTCTTAATAATACTGTAAAAACTTTTAACAAACTGCAGCCTTTACAACTGTTGAGTACCCTTTCCTCCTAATTATGTTCTTTTCTGGGCTTAAATGACACCTCTCTTGTGGTTTTCTTCTCTGTCTGCCCACTCCTCAACATCTGAATCATTCTCCAACAGTGGATGCACCCCAAGACCACTCTCTTTCTACACAGACATCTCATTGGTGCTCCCATCAAGTAGCATGAGTTTCACGACCTAGGCAGATCAGTCCAAGACGTGTATAGACAGTCCTAATTTTCCTCCCAGGCTCGAGGCTCTTATCACCAATTGCCTCTTGGACATTTTAAATGGGACATCCCATAGGCCACCACTCTGGTACAGGCCCTCATCCCCTAACACCTAGACAATGGCGATGGCCTGCTGGTGGGTCTACCTGCCTCAAATCTCTTCCCCACTCCAGTCCATTCTCCATTCAGCTGTCAGAGTGATCTTCCTAAAGAGCAGGTCTGACCGGTGAATTACAAGGGCTCCCTATGACCTATAGGTTCACCTATAAACTCTTCTGCTTTGCATTTACATTTTGCCTCTTCCTACTTTTAAGCCTTATTATATTGCTCCCTTTCCCCCTAGTTTCTCTCCTTCAAAACTTAAGATCAAATGCTTCCTTCTATGTGAAGCCTTTCCTGACTCCCTTAGCCTCCCTCCTCCTTCCAAAAATTGCTTTGTATGATTGTTAATACATTCTGCATGTGCATGTTGTCTTCCTTGATAGAATGTAATTCTTTGAGGGCAGGGACTCTTTTACTTTTGTCTTTGTACCCTCAGTACCTAACAAAGTACCCAGTACTAGTGGGTGCCTAATAAAAGCTCACTGATTGATTGGGTGTTTTTAGGTGAGAGGGGCTTAGACTAAGTTATATCTGAAGTTCCTCCCAACTCTTGTCGTCTGTGTTTTCAGGCATCTTTTAGCCCCTAAAGTCTTGTGGGAAGGCTATATACCCAATCTCCAAGTTGCTTTCAAGTAATCCCATTTGATCCTCTATAACCAGAACCTTCCCCTCACATCTGGGGAGGCTGACACATGCAGCATTCCATCCCCAGCATCCATGTCTTTGTCCAGGCCTAGAAAGCCACCCTTCACCTCTGCCTGTTGGAACTCCTTTCCTCAAGGCTCAGCACCAGCTTAGGTACCATCTCCTACCTGACATCTGTGTTTATTTTCCCAGTGGTTAGAACTGCCCCTATTTTCCTTGTAATTTCTTTGTATTTATCTTGTGCATGTTTTGCATTTAATTACCTGTATGCCTATCATTTCCTTCCAGTAGATGGGTCCTCTGAGGACCTGAGGAATTCTACCAGGGTGAAAACAAAGGGCAGAATAAGCTCCTTGAGGGTTTGGGAGGGGCAGGGAATATGCATTTATTAAGCACTTACTGTGTGCTTGGCACTGTATTAAGTATTTTACAAATCATCTTATTTGGTCCTCATGACAACCCTAAGAGGTAGGTGCTATTATTACCCCAATTTACAGCTGAGAAAAATGAGGCAGACAGAGGTTAAGTGACCTGCCCAGGGTCACAAAGATACTAAATATCTGACGTTTGCTTTGGACTCATGTCTTCAGGCTTCATGCCTAGCCCTCCATCCAAGGCTGTGACAGGGACTTTTGTCTTTGTATCATCCTCAATGCAACAACATGTAAATACCTGCTATACATAAGGTATTGTGCTGGGTGCTGGAGATACAGAGAAAATCCTTTGAAGGGCTCATTTTCTACAAAGGTGATACAGAATATTCTAGACATACACACGTGAATACAATCCAGTCTTAGGAGGGATAGCTAACAGCTGGGAATGAGGTCAAGAAAAGCCTTGTGTAGTAGGCGGCCAGGCAGAAGCAAAGTCGGTGGTGGCGGGAGGCAGAATACCACTGAAGAGCAGGAGTCAGCAGTACAGAGTGGAATTAATATGGATCAGTACAGGAAAGGTAGGTGGGAGCCAGCATGGTGAGGGGCTTAAAGGTTCCTGAGTAGAGGGGGATGATGACATGATTAGCTGTCTCTTGGGAATATTAATTTGTGTTCAGCTGCGTGAATGATGAATTGGAGAGGGGGGAGACCCAAAACAGAGAGCCTAGTGAAGGTGTGCTGAATTGTGGTGAAGGTGCGAAAAGGCTTATTTAGGCTCAGTGCAGAGGAGAAATTAGGTTTGTAATGCTTAAAGCTATCCCAAAGGGGAATGGGCTGACCCAGAAGTGTTCCTCCTCAATGGAGATTTTCTAGCAAAGAAGGGTGACTTTTAAGGATGAGTAGGACTAGACGGGACCTCTGAGGACCTGAGGGATTTTATCATCGTGTGAGGTGAAAGACAAAGGTCAGGGACAGGGAGAAAGTTAGGAACTAAAATCACCTCTCCCTGCTGGCACGAGACTGATGCCAAACCCTAGTTGCGTTATCATCTGAGGAAATCCTCAGCCGGTCCATGTGGATGGTTTGGAAGGAGGGGCCTTTGTTACTGTTCTCTTGTCTCTCCTCAGCTGTGGGAAGGCAATCGCGGGCTCCCACAACCTGGTCCGGAATACAGACCAAGAAGACATAGGCGAATTCTACCTCTGGGGCAGACACCTTTCCATGGGCTACCTGAACAATGAATATAAGACAAAAAAGGCCTTTGACCAAAAAGGCTGGCTGCACACTGGAGACCTGGGCACCTTGGATAACGAGGGCTTTATCCACATCATTGGCAGGATAGAAGGTAACAGGGGGAGACACGCTGGCCGGCTTTCTGTCCACAGCTTCCTTCTTCCTGACTTAATGACTTGTGAATGAAGGAAAGGGAAAACGTTTATTAAGCTTTTAACTATGTGCCAGGCAATCTGCTTAGTGCTGCTAGGGCAGTCTTGGCCCTAAAGGAATTTCTATTCTTTTAGGGGAAGAAAAGACGGATGGGGGAGTGGTGGCCTGGGTGGGCTGTTTTGGTCAGAGAAGTCATGAGATGATGGGTGGAGTTACAGGGCAATGAACTGCCCAGGGATGGTAACATTGACTGGTTACTTTTCCCACATTAGAGCAGAAGAGTCATCCTGGTGTGAGGATGGTGGGAATAAGTGTTTCTATGGTACCTGCTATGTGCCGTGCACTTTTGCAAACACGATTTCATTTGATCCTCCTCACAACCCTGAGAGGAGGTGCTAGTTTATCTCCACGTCACAGTTGAGGAAACTAAGGCAAACTGAGGTTAAAGTGACTTGCCCCAGTGTCGCACAGCTAGGAAGTGTCTGAAGTCACATTTGAACTCGGGTCTTCTGCCTCCAGGCACAGTGTTCCATCCTCTTTGCCACCAGCTAGCCGCCAGCTAGATTCTGGATGATAAGTTACAAAACCCAGAAACCAGGAGCTGGAGAGCCAGTTTGGAGGTGAACAACAGCTTGAAGATCTTCTTACTCACAGGATCATGAACTTCGAATAGAAGGAACCTCTGAAATCATCTAGAGCTTATTTTCTAGAGCAGGCACCAGGAAAGGTAGATGACTTCCTTGAAGTCATGCTGTTAATAAGCAGGCGAGCTGGAATTCAAATTCAGCTTTGCCAATCTCAATCCTCAGCTATTCCCCCTCTACCTCACCCCAGCATATGACCTGCCAGAGGTGAAGTAACTGCCAGGTGCCAAACCCGATGGCTTTGGATCAACTGGTGATTGTTCATCGAAACTGAAAACAAATTAATTCTGCAATTGAATTCACCTGGCCCCACATACGTGGCTTCCCACTGCTGCGGCCCTTCGCAGAATACTTGAATTCCTCTAACCTGATTAGTCCAACATTCATTTTACAGAAGGGGAAAATGAGGTCCAAGAGAAGGAAAAAGACTTGCCCAAGGTCAAACTGAGTTGATGGCAGAACCAGGGCTAGGGTTCAAAGTTTCCTCACTTCCTGCTCAGAACATTGCCTCATAGGATGTGAAAAGATCATAACAATTCACGTTTGCAAAGCACGTGATGAAATGCTCTCCCCTCCTCACCCTGTGTAAAAAGTACTATTTCCATTTTATCGACAAGGCCTAGAGAAACAAAGTGAATAGCCCCAGCTCACATCTAGGAAGTGGACTCAACCACAGATTTTTTTTTTGGCTCTAAGAGCAGCATTTTTTCTACTACTCTACACTACCTCCAGGATGATAATGACAAAATCAACATGAAAGTACTTTACAAAACCAGGAGTTTGGTAAAATGGGAATCGCTCTGCAAAATGTAAAGGGCTCTGTGAAATGTGGGTTGCTCTGTAAATCGTCAAGTGTTCTGTAAACGGTCAGGTGCTCTGTATAATGAACTGCTCTGTAGACTACAAAGCACTGGGGGAATATAAATTAATTTCTGTCTTGAAGAATGTAGTTGCTTTGTTAACAAAACTTTCTGCTGTGTCCTAAAAGCTTTTTTTTTGTACTGTTTCAGAAGTCATCATTACCAATCAAGGGGAAAAAATCTTTCCTGTCCCAATGGAGAATATGCTGAAGGAGAATATCCCCATTATCCACCATGCTATCATCGTGGGAAACCAAGCCAAATTCCTGAGTGTACTGCTGACACTAAAGGTCTTTTGCTTTATTAATTGGCCTTTTTGAGATATTGGGTAGGGGTGGTGGTGATATCCTTACTGAGCCCTCCACTCTTCTGTGGGGACACAGTATACCTAAAATCCACAGTCAGCCAAAGCAATGACACTCGTATCTATACCCTGCCACCTTAAGTGTCCTGCCCAGGTTCTGACCCACGGATGTGAACCTGCCATTCCCAAAACAGGGCAGAAACTTGTGGCACCCAAGTTGGCAGTCAGCATTCAGTGACTACCTCTACTGTGCTGAGGGCTCAGGGGCTACAAAGAAACGTAGACTCAGTCCATACTCTCAGGTGGCTTACATTCTATAGCCTGAGAGACCAGATAAACACCAAAAGAAAGAATCCCTCCCTAGATGTTTTCAAAGCACAGTTCAAATAGCTCCTCCTACACCAGGTCTTTCCGACCACTAACGCTTCTATTTGCTAGTGCCCCTCCTCGAAATTACATAATTTGTGTTTACTGTATTTACTTATTTCACCTGCAAGAGGGCACATTGGGCAGCAGAGGGGAAAAGACCAGCCTTGGAGTTAGGATGACTCCCGTTGGTGGCCACCATCCCCCTCTGATGCATGCTGGCTGTGTAATCCTGGGATGTTCACTGATCTGAATTGGTAGAGGCATTTTCCTTACTGGGGGTTCACCTATACTAATGAAATCACAGGTCTGGTCCACTTACTTATACAGGGCATCCCAAAAGTCTTAGTGCAGGTTTTGTAGGGTGTTTTTTTTTTAATGGCTTACAACAACACTGAGGCTCTTGTGATACTTTGTATATATACATTGGTTTCCCTTGATAGACCAGTTCCTTGAGGGTAGGGACTGCTTTTATTTTTGTATCACCAGAGAACTAGGGCACTATCTGGCACATTGAACACAAGACACTCCATCCATCTCCTAACTCCATGGCTTCCCTGATCTCTTTTGGCTAAAATCCCACCTTCTCCAAGAAGCCTTTCCCAATCACCCTTAATGCTAATGATTTTTCTCTGTTACATCTCTCCAGCTCATTCTGTCTATAGCTTCTTTGTACCTAGTCATTTGCCTGTTATCTCCCCCTCATTGTATGCCCAAAATCTAGTTGTCACATAGTAAGCACTCATTAAATACCTGCTGACTAACTAGTTTGCTGAGTACCAGGGAAATAGTGTAGGCAGTGAGTTCAATAGAAGCGATTCTTGGGGAGCAGCTTCTTTGTGGGGGTGGGGGGAACCTAGCTAGTTACTTTGACCCATCTACAGACAGAGGAGTCCTTGGCTTTAGGGCAAATCTTTGGCATCATATCCAAGGTGAGGGATGGGGACATGTCATGATTGGGGTGGGGGAGAGGTGTGTGGGAGGGGAAGCATTTATTGCCAGTGAATCTGGGTGATTTCTCCCACAGTGTGAGATCAGTTCGGACACAGGTGAGCCTCATAACATGCTGACGCAAGAAGTCATCAATTTTTGCCGAAAGAACAATAGTAAGTCAGTCAAAGTGACAGACATCACGAATAACCAAGACCCCATCATTGATGCCATAATACAGAAAGGCATTGATGCAATCAACGAGCAACCTGAACATGAGAATCACAAGATCCTCAAATGGAAAGTCTTAGAGAAGGACTTCTCAATTATGGGTGGAGAACTAGGTAGGTGGGGCTACTGACCTTCATCTGGAAACCCTGAGTGGGGAACTTTAGGATCTTGGAATATCAGAGCTGGAAGGCACCTTAGAATGCACATGCTAGAGCTGGAAAGGAACTTAGAATATAAACTGTCAGGGCCAAATGGGTCCTTGGAATATAAGACTCGCAGAGCTAGAAGGAATCTTCGGTTCTCCCACTCCACCCCCCCCTTTACAGTTCTGGGGGAAACTGAGGCCAGAAAGAAGAAAAACTGACAATATATTCAATAAATCACTGTCAGAGCAAGAGTTTCTGCCTCCTGACCTCTGGGCTCTTTCTTCCAGACCACAGGCACTGGGTCAGTGAGGAAGAGTGGAATTCTGGGTAAAGTCTGAGCAGCTTGATTCTTAAAGATTAATCGGCATTATTGATATTTTCTCCATCAACTTAAGTCTAGATAACCAAGAAAACAACAAGTAAATCCCCCAAGTTGCAGTATTTGAGATTCCCAAAATGTACACGCTCCCATTGAAAATTTCACTGTGGAGGCTGGCTTTAGCACACCCACCCCTTGGTCCTTCCCTACCTTGCTTTTTACTTAGTAATGTTGGGGGTCTTGGGCCCCTTAAAATCCTCCAGATGTGCCCTGTACACTGGATACACATCCCAGTTAGAAGCGCCCTTAGCATTTAGTCCAAGCCTTTCTTTTTATGAACGAGCAAATTGAGGTCCAGAGTTGGAATGAGTTTGCCTGTAGTCCCACTGTGAGCAACAGAGCCAAGATTCAAACACAGGTCCTCTGGACTTGGGGAAGGTGCAAAAGAGCCTGGCATGTAGGCAGCGAACATGGTAAGGGACCCATTTGGTCAGAGCTCAGGGTTCAGACAGGTAAATGGGCAACAAAGGTAGTGATGTAGGGAGGGGTGATGGAAAGAGGAACGGATGGCTTGAAGTCAGGACTGGGTTCAAATCCTGTCACTTATTCATGGGACATTGGGCAGGTCACTTAAATTCTCTGGGCCTCTGTTTCATCAAAGGGAAAATGAGGGGGAGCTCCAGGTCTATAACTCTATGAATACAACTCTTGCAAAATTACGTAGGTCAGTCTCTGTTTAGTCCTGTCCTTCAAGAAAATCTTACCTGGTCCTAGGTTTAAATAATGGGATGTAATTGAAAGAGCCCTGGGCTAGGAACCAGCACCCCTTGGCTGGAGGCCTGCATGACATGGAGCATTCCCTCTCTCTAGGTAGGGTAACACTTGCACTGCCTTCCCTCCCAGCGCTTTGTAAAATCTAGGGTGCTTGGATAACGTAATCTACGATCCTTCTGAAGGCTTTTCAAGCACAGATAGAGCAAAAATAAAACACCAACCAATTTTCAGCATCTCTGCCTTCTCATCAGGGAGTTTTCACAAACATTGACACATCTGACTTAGAGCCATGTGAGCATTCCCTCTACTGGTGCAGCTCACAACCTGTCCATGCCTTCTTAGCTCCTGGAATGTCTGTCCGTGCCCTACCTAACAGCGCCCCTGCTGGCTCTGCCCCTGTGCTACCCCTTTTCCGCTGCACTAGTGAGGTACGTACGCAGCCCACCTTGTCTCCCTTGTGATTCATTCATATTCTTGCTGATGCTACCTCCCACATACAGGTGTCCTTGGTAACTAGCAGCAGCCTGTTGAGATTGCCTAGGTGTCCTATTCTTCTTGGGTCCCCTTGCAGGGGTGATTGCTCTGACACTCTGGTGTCCCAGGATTTAGTCAGACGTCACAACTAGAACAGTAGCAGCAGGAGGCCATACTTCTTTGGTCCTTTCAAGTTTACAAAATGGTGAGGAAGGTGATGCAAGAATTATTGCCCCCATTTTATAGAAAAGCCGAGATTTAAAGACGTTGCAAGAGCCCTGGATTTGGAATCTTGGCTCAGAGATTCCTCGGCTGTGACAGGGAATGTTTCTCTCCCTCTGCATCTTAGTCTGCATCTCTGCAAAATGAGGGGTGTGGATTTGGTCTCGTAGCTCCAAATTCTCTGAAGGGAAAGGGTGTGCCTAAGATCACTCAGATGAAGAGCTGGAATTCAAATATAGGTCTTCTGATTCCAATTCCTTGGGACTCTTTCCCCCTAAGCCAGCTCCTCATATGGTAGGATTATGTGTCTTGGTCTCTCTCTCACCCCCAGAAGCTTGAGAGCGTGCACCATAAGGGACTTTTATCTTTGCCCTTTCTGTCTTTAAATGACCCAGCACCCAAGCCGGAGGGACCTCAGCTTTGATGGGATGGCTCATTATCTTCTCTCCCTCAGGTCGACCTCGAAGATGCGACGGTCGCACATCACCAGAAAGTATCAAATGATGATCGCCAGTTTCTATATCTAGCTCTGTAGTCTGGGTGTCCAGGTTGCCACCGACCATGGAAGGCTGCCTTTTTTACCACCTGCACGTGGTTCCATGAAGAATGTAACCATCCTGAATTTGGCACGGTGTTTAACTCCTTCTCTTGAACTGGTTTTAAAATAAAATTCCACCACCCACAGATCAGGGAAGCCTTTGTCCTGGTTTTGACCTAGCCCAGGATGGCAATATTTGGTCTCCATAACCAAAGAAATGGTGATCATTTACCTTGCTCGTTCAAAGGAACAATGATATCCACATGGGATCTCCCTCCATCCGGACAGGTTCAAGTGCCCCCATCCTGTGTAATCCTGGTGTATGTCTTTCCATAAATCCTCCTGAGAGGATACACCCTGCTCTACTGCACACTTTTCTCTGGGGTTTCTGATATTTGGGGGAGCTTCTCTCTCATTACACTTCTGGACCATCTCCTTTTAGTCATACCTGCCACTTTTATGATTTTGGTGAAAGCACCTTTTCTTACCCCCTGTATTTACCTGCTGACTCATTTCATAGATGCAAGACAACATATGAAAGTAATGAACAAAAACGCGGAGTGAATGTTAACCTACTTATTGCCCCCATAGAGCAAACTTTAAAGGGTGGAGACTGAAGTCACAAATGCAGGATGTTGACCAACCTGAATGACATCTTAATTTTCTTTGTGGCTTTTTTGCTACCCTCAACTCTGGGACTAAGCAGATTTTTAAAAGTCTCATGAATCAAAGTTCTAGTACACGAGGAGATGCCCATTTCCATGCATTTTAATTATAAATTTGCCCCAGGCGATAAATTTTTTTCAGCCATTGTAACTCTTGAAGACTGTCCACCATACCCCCAAATTGTAGAATTACACAAACCCAGAACTCCAGAAGCCTTCCAGCCCAATGCATATTTGAATGAGCAACTGTGAACAAACGGTCATTTAACCTATACCTGAAGACCCCAGTGAGGGCAAATCCAGGACCGCTTCTTATTAGGAAGTTGTTCCCTAATCTGTAAAGCCAAAATCTACCTCCTTGCAAATTTCAATCACTGTGACGTACTGATGAAGAGTATTCATACTGACAAAACGATGCATCTGTGAAGTGTGAGATACTTTGTGCACATGTAACAACATGATTTTAATACCTTTCCCTCAAGGACCCCCATGAATCAGTAGTCTGGGACTCTTCCCTGAGCTGGCACTTCCCCCCCCAAAAAAACCCAAAAACAAAAAGGGGAGGACCCAAAGGGGCAGACTATGAGGTAATGACTAAGGACTCAAAACATTAATAACTGACCACAGCACTTTTCTGCTCAGGTCTGAGACTGGAGTCAGGCAGTGTGGACTCCAAACCTCGTGGTCCCTGTGAGGGCTTAAGAGCTAGCTTCCATTCCTGGAAATGGAATCAGTACAGAATAAGTCCCTTTTTGTCTCCGAGCCTTAGTTTCCTCATCTGTAAAATAAGGGGGCCTTTAAGATCCCTCCCAATTCCAAATCTATGATTATTTAAAGCATTTTATTTTATCTAGTGAGTGATGGGAAAGTCTGGTTTCTTCCAAAGCAGATGAAATCCTCTCAACCTTTATCTCACTACCTTTTCCTTGGGGCCAGATCAGCTTATCCAGGATATTTTAACAGGGTCAGAAGACAGGTAAGTCAGGAGAACTCTATAGACACAGAACACCTGAATTTTCTCCAAGCATCTATTACAGTTTCTCATGCTATCCTTGTGGACAAGATAGGAAGGTTTTGAGTTAGATAAGACTACAGCTAAGTGCATTCAGAAAGTGATGGAATGCCTAGTCACTGAGAACAGGATCTACAACTGGAAGGAGTACGCACACTAACAAAATCCTAGATTTTTTAAAGCCACGGGCTATGAAGGTGAAGGTGGAGGAAGTCCATCCTGGTCCTTACGGAGTCAAGTGCTCCCAAGGATGGAAAGAGCTGGGCTGGCGAACTGTAGCAATACATTTAAACAACACCCTCAGTGCTTACTGACCGCTATTTTTCTTACTTTATGGATAGCGAACATGTGGATGAACACCGACTATTACATAAAGCTGCAGAGACAGATTATTTTGCTTGAATGTAAGGAAAACGCTCCTTAACGAGAGTGTGCAGAAGTGCAATGAGAGGTAGTGGAGTCTTCAAGCAGAGGCCAAGTGACAACTTACTGGGCAGTTTCCTGAGGGAATCACCTCGTTGGAGTAGATGCCTTCTGAGATCTCTCCTAGCTCACGTTCTGTGCTTTTGTCCTGATTCTTTCATGATGCCGACCTTCCCGATTCCTCTTATTGCAGTGCTTCTGGTCTTCCTAGTAGTCTGCTCACAAATTCTTTGAGGACAGTCTCTTTGTAAAGATTGTGGGGGAAGGAGAAGCAAGCTTGGATCCTTCTTCCCACGTGAAGGTCAGTCTCATGAGCTAAGGTGAGGCCAAACTCTTCCTGCTCCTTGTCAGGACTGATGATTCTGACACCAGTAACCCAAGACTTGCCTTTGGACATTTCCCCAGGCCCCCCCCCCAACCCCTCTTTGCTAGCACTCGGGTTTCCTAAGCATCTTCCTCACAACCACTTTGTGAAGCAGCTGGGGCACTATGCACATCTTGCATACGATGAAACCGAGGCTTGGGGATGTGAAGCCACTTGTCTGAGGTCACACGGTTAGTACAGCAAACAGACCAGCTCTGTTCAAGGCACCATCCAACTGCATGTCATAGCCCTCCAAAGAGAGCGTGAGCAACAAGGAAGGCCAGCCCCAGCTGATCTGGACGGATGTAAAGGAAGCCTGGGAGCTTCAGCAATGGCTCTGCAATCAGGATGCTATGGAAGCTACCCCCATGGGGATGCGTTGGTTCCTTCTGTAAACCACTGCAATGCCCCTCGAGGGCAGTCCCCACCACGGCGGCAGACCTCAGATGGCGGAGCAGAATACTTCAAAGTAAAACAAAACTGTCAGTCTACAGACTTTTCCCATCTTACTTTATTTCACTGTTTTCTATAAAACTCCTCTGGAATTTCACAATTTAACAAAAATGTTTAAAATCCAGGACAGAAACAATCCTGTAACTTATTACAAACATGATTCTCCTCATTTCTTTGATCCAGGAGTCTGTCTCCAGCCAGAAGAACATGTGAATTAGTTCAGTGCCAGAGATGTTCTGTTAAAAACCCTCCTGTGATAGAAGGTATTTAATACCTTTGCTTTCGGCATTTTTTGTTCATTCAAAGACACAGCAGAATACAAGGAATTAACACTCAGTTTGAGGCTTATGTACTTACATACTGTTTGTAAGGAGTGCAAAGGCAAGTCCCTCTCGCCTCCTCAAGTCTTTGCAGAGTCCCCGCCAATAGGGGCGGGGCCCACAGCAGGTATGGGGTGTGTGTGTGGTGGGGGGGGTGCTCCTGAAACACTTCCAGGGCTTCTGTAGAAACACGAGTGCATGGAGAGGCCCCCACAGCCTGCTGACATCCAAAGGGACACCTGACAAACCTTAACAAGCACAGGGACTTTTTTTTTTCCCTTAAGGGTAGGGGTGGGGTAAGGGAAAAGAATCCAGGACATTATCCAGCAGAGTAAGTTAGAACAATCTGGCAGGCATTCCCCTGGCAAGAACAAAGGGACTGAGGGCTGGGTCCCTGCCCTCACCTCCCTCATTCCTTGTGTCCAAGCCTCCTGGAGGGAAGCCAACCTTCTGACTAACCAGTGCTTAAGGAATCTGCTCCTGAATCAGGAATAAACACAGGCTGGAGTCAATGGCCCTTGAACCCCCCAAGGGCCCTTAAAAAAAAAGAAATCCTGATGCCACAGATATCTCACGACTGTGGCAGTTATAAGGTTGTCACTGGCAACTCAGCTGTTGGCTACGACTGGGCTCCCTGCCTGCATACTTCAGGCCAGCTTATTTTGTCCACTTTGGGGGGGGGGGGAGGCGCAAGCTTCAAGGCAACTGCCAATTAGGGGAATGCTAGGCAATCTGCCTCTCAGACATGTCTGCCATGAGTGTGGAGTACAGGAAACATGGTGTATACTTCTAATACTCCAAAGATATGGCTCTCACCACCAATCAGGGCAGAGAGTGGGAGTAGGAGATGAGAGGCTTCTCTTTTGAGGTCTGATGCACAGAACTGGTGGTTGTAGGGTGATCAGATTGCAAAAAGCACCCATTATAATTTTCCTTGGGGGCCTCAAATGATGGGACTTTTCTACTGAAAGTTGCCATCTGGAAGTGCCAGAGGCCACCGAGAAAGGAGAGACTTGAGTGCTGCCCCAAGGGGGCTCCCCAGAGCTAAGACTTGTTTCCGGAAGTCCTACCCCAGTCCAACTGGCTGATAGTGAGGACATGGCTGCAACTGGATGGAGTGAGGTATGTGGGGAGAGTGGTCTCTTAGGTGCTACTGAAGAAAGGGCACCATTAGGTGGCCCAAATACTCCATCTTCTCCCCAGCTGTTCCCAGTACAGAAATTTGAATGCTCTCACAGTTCAAACACAAGTGCAAGGACTGGGGTAGGGCAGGGTGGGGTTTGTTCTACAGCAAGAAGGAAAGAGATGTGCATGCTTTCAGGAGAGCTGGGCCAGGGGACTAATGCTGAGTTGGTAGGGAGATCTGTTGTTCTTACGGGGCTTCTATCTAACCTTGTGCCAAAGCCAGGGGAAGAACTGACCTGGCCAGATCTTGGCATTAAAAGAAACGAAGAGGGGTGAGGGTGGGGGATGGGATGAGGGAAGGTGGTACACAACGGGACCCTAGTGAACAGGAAGTGGATCCAGGTGGCCCCACGCTAACATGCTCATTATCTATCACCACAGAATAAACAGCTGCGCCAGAGCTGACAGACAAATGGAAGGGCATGGAGAGGGAGGAAACCAGGATGGGGTAGAAGACAAGAGTCCGGCTGCCTGGAGCCTGAGTGTTACCTGGAGCAGAGGGGAAAGCGCGGAGAAGTGCCCCGACCATCCTGGTGCTTGGCCTGATCCAAACTTTTGCTTTTCTCCCACCTTATTTGGCAAAAGCTCCATTTTCAAAGTTCAAAGAGTACTAAACAAAAGGGAAGATGAGCCAGATCCAGGAGACAGCTTTAAACCACGCGGTATCCTGCTACTG